CATCCGGCAATTGGCACCTGGAACAAAGAACTTAGAATTGTTGAGGCAATCAACATAGAGGTCATCAAAGGCACTGATTAACCTGCAAAGTGGCTATGACGATCTGGAAACGACACCTGCTCCACTCCCTGAAAACAGAATTCCGAAGGAGGGCCAAGCAAAATGCATGCGGCAACATTCAACTGAGTAGTTATCCTCCAACAGAAACGACACAAGAATTCTCATCCCACCTTGCCGATGGCAGCCAAGCCGTTCGGAATGTCTGCGAACTTCAGCTTCGTGCTGGGGTCAAGGTATCCGGGGAACTTGCCAGCGACCTCCGGTGTGATGTAGCCCATTGTTGCAAGCATGCAAATTCTCCCATGCTTGATCTCCACAGATCGGCGGCGCTTGAAGGAGTACACGTCGCCATCCTTCGAAAGGCCAAGGGGATCGAAAAATCCCAGAGGCGCTTGCACGCCCAGCTCGTTCTCAAACGCTCGCAAAGGCGAGTCAGTGTAATTGGCCCAGTCTCCCCAAGCGGAGCCGGTCAAACCATCTTGGAAGAACATGCCAATGATTGCCATCATCGCCAGGCGGCCGTTTGCAATCTCAACGTTCAAGCGCCTCTCCTTCATCTCGGGCGAGTTGCCAGAGAACAGCGGCGGGTTCCAGCCCATGTCACCTGGGGTTCGCTTGTTCACGTCGGCATCGTAGCCAGCGGAGATCTCGCAGAACGCCGCATAGCCGATCATCTGCATCCATCCGGCAATTGGCACCTGGAACAAAGAACTTAGAATTGTTGAGGCAATCAACATAGAGGTCATCAAAGGCACTGATTAACCTGCAAAGTGGCGATGACGATCTGGAAACGACACCTGCTCCACTCCCTGAAAACAGAATTACGAAGGAGGGCCAAGCAAAATGCATGCGGCAACATTCAACTGAGTAGTTATCCTCCAGCAGAAACGACACAAGAATTCTCATCCCACCTTGCCGATGGCAGCCAAGCCGTTGGGAATGTCTGCGAACTTCAGCTTCGTGCTGGGGTCAAGGTATCCGGGGAACTTGCCAGCGACCTCCGGTGTGATGTAGCCCATTGTTGCAAGCATGCAAATTCTCCCATGCTTGATCTCCACAGATCGGCGGCGCTTGAAGGAGTACACGTCGCCATCCTTCGAAAGGCCAAGGGGATCGAAAAATCCCAGAGGCGCTTGCACGCCCAGCTCGTTCTCAAACGCTCGCAAAGGCGAGTCAGTGTAATTGGCCCAGTCTCCCCAAGCGGAGCCGGTCAAACCATCTTGGAAGAACATGCCAATGATTGCCATCATCGCCAGGCGGCCGTTTGCAATCTCAACGTTCAAGCGCCTCTCCTTCATCTCGGGCGAGTTGCCAGAGAACAGCGGCGGGTTCCAGCCCATGTCACCTGGGGTTCGCTTGTTCACGTCGGCATCGTAGCCAGCGGAGATCTCGCAGAACGCCGCATAGCCGATCATCTGCATCCATCCGGCAATTGGCACCTGGAACAAAGAACTTAGAATTGTTGAGGCAATCAACATAGAGGTCATCAAAGGCACTGATTAACCTGCAAAGTGGCGATGACGATCTGGAAACGACACCTGCTCCACTCCCTGAAAACAGAATTCCGAAGGAGGGCCAAGCAAAATGCATGCGGCAACATTCAACTGAGTAGTTATCCTACAGCAGACACGACACAAGAATTCTCATCCCACCTTGCCGATGGCAGCCAAGCCGTTGGGAATGTCTGCGAACTTCAGCTTCGTGCTGGGGTCAAGGTATCCGGGGAACTTGCCAGCGACCTCCGGTGTGATGTAGCCCATTGTTGCAAGCATGCAAATTCTCCCATGCTTGATCTCCACAGATCGGCGGCGCTTGAAGGAGTACACGTCGCCATCCTTCGAAAGGCCAAGGGGATCGAAAAATCCCAGAGGCGCTTGCACGCCCAGCTCGTTCTCAAACGCAGCCAGAGCAGTTGCTGACTTGCATGTCTTTCTGGCCTCGTGGGTTTTTGAACAATGGGGGCGTCGGGTGTAAGGCCTTCTGGTGAAAAAACGCTCCAAACTAAATCAATCAAAACACAACAAACCTGTACCCCCAGGCTTTTTGGGCCTTGGATGGGTTGAGGGTGTAGGGCTCAGGCTTTTGGAGGTTTAGGGTTCAGGGTCCAGGGTCTAGGGTTTAGGGTTTTAGGGTTTAGGGTTTAGGGTTTAGGGTTTTCAGCTTAGAGATCTCATGATTTTCTGCCCTGCCGGCCTTTCCGAAGACCTGTGCCGCCAGAACGGCCGAGGCGCACGCCAAGGCGGGGGTGCTCCCGCTGCTTCCTGGGGATTGTTGTGGCCTAAACTCAACCCTCAACCCTCAACCCTCAACCCTCAACCTTCAACCCGAAACCCTAAACCCTAAACCACTTGAGGATGCTGGGACCCTGCCTGCGCCTGATGTTGGGGCGCTGGCGCCACGAAGAGATGCGGGTCGTGCCGAAGACGCCTGTCTCAGATCAGGGGTACCCCTTATATGCCCTTTACAAAGATAGCCCGAGACATCAGATCCCTTTCAAGGAGGTTAGGGATCATATATTAGGGCCCATGAAACCCCCAGAGTCTGCCTTAGAGCCTGGCCAGTTCAGGATCGACCTAGGCCCAGAACCTAGAGAATCCAAGGTCTCCTTAAGCCCTAAACCCTAAACCCTTAACCCTAAACCCGAAACCCGAAACCCGAAACCCTAAACCCTAAAGCCCCCAAGAGCGCCTGCCGCGGGCCCGATGTCCCGGCTATGAACGCCGGAGCTGCCACAAGCGCTGCGGCAGCTGCACCCCCGGCAACCATTTTGCCTTTGCAGAAAAGGGATTAGGGTTTGGGATTTAGGGTTTCGGGTTTCGGGGTTTAGGGTTTAGGGTTTCGGGGTTTAGGGTTTCGGGTTCAGGGCTTCGGGTTCGAGATGCAGGGTTCAGCATAGGGTTTAGGGGCAGTGACTTGAACTCATGGCACGGAGTGGACCCTCTGGCACTAAAGGTTGGGCGACTGGCTGAGGACGGTAGGGCTGATTAGGGTGTAGGGTTGAGGGTTGAGGGTTGAGGGCTTAGGGTTTAGGGTTAGGAGACCCATACAAAGCTCAACTCAGGGTTACCTGATTCTTCTTTTGGCTAGGAAAACCCGAAACCTTCAACCCTAAACCCTAAACCCTCAACCATAAACCCTAAAACGCTAAACCCTAAACCCGATATAAAGTACGTAGAGTAGAACAAGAACCAATGCGAAGGCAAAGACCATCCGAGCCCCCGGCTGGACATGCCTGCTAACGAGATCACGTCCTTTCTTAAAAATTGCAGGCTTGTTCCTTGAGCCTGCTCCTGCGCAGAAATCCATTTTTCTTTAGGATTTGGGCACGGGGCTGAGGGAAGCTGAGGGTTGAAGCTTAGGGTGATCGTTTTTGTCGGCTCTGCCTCGAACCTGCGCGCATCTCTGCGGCAGTCGGGGGGGGGGGGTAGGAGGGGGAGGGGAGGGAGGGGGAGGGGGTGCTAAGAAAAGCGGCTGTCGTGCTCCCTATGATTACAATTCATCATTTATATGTATATTCATACTACATGAATATTCGTTGTTGTGGCTATTGTGACCCGCATGAACATTGACCACTAACTTTCAACAGGATTATTGTCGCGATCATGATTCTTTACTAGTATGAGCACTACAATCACCATAATGATAGCTATGGCTATTATGCCTATTGTGGATATTCTGAGTGTTCTGACATTGTGAATCTTCGAAGTCGGCGACTACTCGGATTTCGGGGTAATTTGGGGGATGATCGAGGCAGCGCCTGAGTCCCACGAAGCAGCCCACGAAGGCCAGCGAGCCTTGGCATGCCGACTCAACTGCTCAGAACAAGAGGCTCAAAGCCTGAACTCATATTGACACGGAAGGGTTTTCATCCGTCTCTGCGAGGGCTTGCGTTTAAGACACGGATGGCATCCCTTGTTTACGGCTAAGCGGCTAAGGGGCGGGCCAGATCCGTCGAGTGCAGCGGAGGACCTTGCAAAAAGACTCGGAAACTGCAGGGCTTCAGCGCACAAGGCGAAGTGTAAGGAAGAGTCAGCCCTACCTACTTCCAGCGCTACTGTCAAAGTCATAAGGGAGTGGCTGAAGGGGTGCCTGACGTCGTCCGAGGTCTGCAGTGTCTACCAAAAAGCGTAAAAGCCAACGCAGACTGCCAAGTCAATGAGCCCTCGCAGAGAGCTGCCGTCACAGTGAGCTACCAGGACCACGTCGGAGAACCCGCTGATTTTTTGCGTTTGGGGTTTGGGGTTTAAGGTTACGGGCTAATTGATTCTTACCCCTCTGCTGCCTCTGCTCCTTCCCCAATCCGCAAGTAACCGCACGAGGCCCTGCGAAAGTCAACCCGAAACGCCTCACGGAGTTGATCTACATGAGGGGTCCTTGTCCAGTCTTTCTTTAGCCTACAGTAAACCCTAAGCCCTCACTTTGCTGCTATTGCTACTGCCGCTGTTTTGCTACTACAGCTATTGTTGCTACTCATACTATGACTACTTCTGTTACCAATAAAAACTTACTATTCCTCCTGATAATGTTACAAAGTCGATTGCGAGTACTATTACGGTATTCATACTTCCTTGTACGACCATGACTATGACTTACTACTGCCATCACTACTCCTCTACTTTGTTGAAGAGACACAAACAGCACCCCTATTCCTCCTGATGATCAGATGCGAGGATGTGGGCTACGCCTTCCAAAAAGCTGTACGACGGGAAGGGATCGCAAATGTGCCTTGAGTGCTGGAAGCCTCAGACAACATTCTGAATTCTGGAAGCCGCGCTCAGCTGTCAACTCCCTATGCTCCCAGTACAGGTGCTGAAAGCACTTCTGCCATCTGCAGATGAGACTGACCCGGAGCCCACACATACAGCCTCCGAGGGCCTGGGGGCTCGAGGACAGAATCTTTAAAGACGTTTAAAGAGACTTGATTGCCGAACAGCTCTGAACTACTTCTTGCTTGCTTTGCTGCCGGCGCTTCGGATTGAGCTTCTCAGTGATCGTGGGTCAGTTGACACTCCCGGCGCCGTTCTGTCCGCGGCAATCCAAGCCTGGGACGGCCCGTGAAATTCTGTGATGAATATTCCTGAATAGGATCCTTTTATTCCCAAGAAGGGAAAAAATTCCTGAATAGGATCCTCTTAAACCCATCGTAAAGGGAAACTATAACATGTCCCTCCAGGGCCCACCGTGCCACCGAGAAGCGTGGTCGATGACTCCCACGCCGCGTTCCGGATCGCTCGCAGAGCTGGCGAGGCGCTCGACAGATCCGGCTTCGGCAATCCTGTGCTGTTCCGATTAGGGTTTAGGGTTTAGGGCTTGGGGTTTAGGGCTTAGGGTTTAGGGCTAAGGGCTTGGGATTTAGGATCTCGGGTTGAGGGTTTAGGGTTTAGGGCTTAGGGTTTAGGGTTTAGGGTTCAGGGTTTAGGGTTTAAGCCTCGGGGCTGCAATTCAGCCCTGCAAAATGTTGAAAAGATGCTGCTTTGGGCTAGAAGGAAGGAACCACGAAAAAAAACGGATTCAAAAGAAGGCGCCCAGAAACCTGCCCATCCGTGATCCGAGTACCTCTTGCTGTGTGCTGACATGCTCCAAGGTGCGGTAAAACCTTTGCTGCTTCTTTTTTCGTGGGACCCCTTTGGACAGTGCGCTGAAGTAGAAGAAACTACTAAGAACGCAAACACGCCGAAAAAAGCAACGCTCAAAAACTGTCCAGAAGCGTGCCCACCTTGCCTGCCTGCGTTCCGGTGTCGTCCACGCAGGAGTCCTGGTGACCCACGTCCTCGGCGATTGTCTCGAGAACGAGCACCCCTCCACCACAGGAATCTGGACCGATAAGCTTGATCTGCATGGGGATAAAGTCCTCTGCTGTTCCTGGAACCTTGACAAAAAACATCATGCTTTTTGCTGCTTAGGATTGATAGAGCCGAACACCAATTCAATCACTGTCAGAAACAGCCGGGTATCCCCATCGGTAGTGAGGTACTCAACTTTGTCACCTTCCATGGCCCTGGCATTGTTGGGGAGAATCAGCGCTGGACGGAGCGTCTCATCGGTGAGAATCTCATAGCCATTGTTCCACCAGCGCCGCAGTTTCTTGAAAAACCACCAGGCGACGATACCGACGCTCCCCATTAAAGCCAAAGCAACTTCTAGCAAGTGATGCTTGACATTGCACACTAGCTCATGGAGCAGGCTTTGATCGGTGGCGCATGCACCAAGTTGAGACGCATCATCGGCCTCTCATAAAACAAATGAGGTTTGGGCAGGTGCACGAATCTACGGATACTGCCAGTAGCTTGTAAATTTAGCAACAAGCCGAGCTTGGGGCTTGGTGGAGGGGGAAACCGGGGCAACACTCGTAGTACTACAGGCTTTCTTAGCGCACCACGCAGACGCGAAGAGAAAAAGAGCATGCGCCACTGGGCATGTGGTCCTAAACCCGGCCTGCTGAACGGTCATCTGAAAGCATAGCAGAAGACTCGGGAGGCTCAGGGTACGAATCCGCATGATGGGAGGCTCTGAGGCGAAACGAACTTCACGCGGGTGCTTTTCTCCGGGTTCTACGGCCCCAGGGGCTCTCTTGCGCCGAAAATCTGCGAGCCTTGGAATTGCACACACAGCCAAGGTCCTCAAAGAGATCTGGGGTTTTGGGGTTGAATTTGGGCTGCAGCGACTGTTGAAGATGCTATCAACAATGTCAGAGAAAGTCGCACAGCGAAAAGCGATGTTGTGCCAGCGACTGGTGCTGTCTGCTACTGCTGCCAGCTACACGGCAATTCTTGCCACTCCTACAAAATTCCTTCCCAATCCCGAAACCATACACCCGAAACCCTAAACCTTAAACCAGAATGCGCCGGCACCTGAGCATGAGGATGCATGGGATGATCCGACTGCCTTCCATGTGCGCTTGGGGTTCGAGTTCCGGACCCCCCCCCCCTACCGGCCCGGAACCTTGCACCCTAAACCCTTAGTGTGTGCAGTTTCAGAGTCCGGTCCCCATGCTTAGTTAAAATGACGCGAAACGGGCGGAAGCAGATGCGTAGTTCCTGCCCCCCTCTGCCACAGGAAGTTCAAAGCGGAATCCATGACAAGTGTTGCGGGCTCAGGGGTTAGAGTTAAACATGCGTGGGTCCGTGGGCTACCATTCCTGCAAACAGCCTCCATCGGCACTTCATAGTGACCCAACCTACCGCCTGCCCCCCCTCCCCCCACCCACCCACCCTCACCCCCGACCCCCACCCTAGCCCCGGGCCCCCGTCCTTTCTTGGGATCGGTGGCACTGGTGGTGGCCGTCAAATGATAGCAGGAGAGTGCCAGATTTTGTATAAGATGACCCTTGCCCTTCTCCATGTGCTTTCCAGATGCCGCTTTTACAATCCCCATCTGCTCGCTATAATGATATATTCACATTATTCTATCGAAGGTGTCCATAACAAAACCCCTAAAGCCTCGAATATGAGAGCGTACCTCTATATTTCTACAGACTTCTACTGGCCTTACTCATAGGGCTCAGGCATCTTTAGGATTCAGCGCTTTGGGTTTTTGGTCTCGAAATTTCTATTGGTGTCACTGGGTCTGCCCCACTTCCGTCGCCTCAACTGCAGTTGAGCTAGGCTACTATTATTCGATTGCTATCATGAACCGGCACGTGACAAACAGCACCCTTCTTCCTCCTGATGAGATGCGAGGATGTGGGCTAAGCCTTCCAAGAAGCTGTACGACGGGAAGGGATCGCAAATGTGCCTTGAGTGCTGGAAGTCCCAGACATTCTGCATTCTGAATTCTGGGGAAGCTGCGCTGTCAGCTCCCTACGCTCCCAGTACAGGTGCTGAAAGCAATTCTGCAGATGAGACTGAACCGAAACCCACACATACCGTCACGGAGGGCCTGGGGCCCTGGGGCACGAGCACAGAATCTAGACTTTTCAAGACTTGATTGCCGAACGGAGGCTACGTTTTGCTTGCTTTGCTGCCGGTGCTTCGGATTGAGCTTCTCAGTGTTCGCGGGTTAGTTGACACTCCCGGCGCCGTTCTGTCCGCAGCAATCCAAGCGTGGTCGATGACTGCCACGGCGTGTTCCGGATCATCGCTCGCAGAGCTTGCGTAGCGCTCGACAGATCCGGCTTCGGCAATCCTGTACTGCTCCCGCCCTGGACATCACCAACCCTGAGCGCTGAGCCCTGCAAGATGTTGAAAAGATGCTGCTTTGGGCTAGAAGAAAGGAACCACGAAAAAAAACGGATTCAAAAGAAGGCGCCCAGAAACCTGCCCATCCGTGATCCGAGTACCTCTTGCTGTGTGCTGACATGCTCCAAGGTGCGGTAAAACCTTTGCTGCTTCTTTTTTCGTGGGACCCCTTTGCACAGTGCGCTGAAGCAGAAAAACTACTAAGAACGCAAACACGCCGAAAAAAGCAACGCTCAAAAACTGTCCAGAAGCGTCCCTACCTTGGCTGCCTGCGTTCCGGTGTCGTCCACGCAGGAGTCCTGGTGACCCACGTCCTCGGCGATTGTCTCGAGAACGAGCACCCCTCCACCACAGGAATCTGGACCGATAAGCTTGATCTGCATGGGGATAAAGTCCTCTGCTGTTCCTGGAACCTTGACAAAAAACATCATGCTTTTAGCTGCTTAGGATTGATAGAGCCGAACACCAATTCAATCAATGTGAGAAACAGCCGGGAATCCCCATCGGTAGTGAGGTACTCAACTTTGTCACCTTCCATGGCCCTGGCATTGTTGGGGAGAATCAGTGCTGGACGGAGCGTCTCATCGGTGAGAATCTCATAGCCATTGTTCCACCAGCGCCGCAGTTTCTTGAAAAACCACCAGGCGACGATACCGACGCTCCCCATTAAAGCCAAAGCAACTTCTAGCAAGTGATGCTTGACATTGCACACTAGCTCATGGAGCAGGCTTTGATCGGTGGCGCATGCACCAAGTTGAGACGCATCATCGGCCTCTCATAAAACAAATGAGGTTTGGGCAGGTGCACGAATCTACGGATACTGCCAGTAGCTTGTAAATTTAGCAACAAGCCGAGTTTGGCGCTTGGTGGAGGGGAAACCGGGGCAACACTCGTAGTACTACAGGCTTTCTTGGCGCACCACGCAGACGCGAAGAGAAGAAGAGCATGCGCCACTGGGCATGTGGTCCTAAACCCGGCCTGCTGAACGGTCATCTGAAAGCATAGCAGAAGACTCAGGAGGCTCAGGGTACGAATCCGCATGATGGGAGGCTCCGAGGTTCTCCGGACCCAGGGGCCCTCTTGAGCCAACAAAACTGCGAGCCTTTGAATTGCACACGCAGCCAAGGTCCTCAAAGAGACCTGGGGTTTGGGGGTCTAATTTGGGCTGCAGCCTGCTGCAGCCTGCTGCAGCGACTGTTGAAGATGATCACGATGCGAAGACAATCGCGCATCCACTTGCATTCATGCGAAATCTCAACAATGTTGAAGAAAGTCCCACAGCAAACGAACAGCGATGTTGTGCCCGGGGCTGGTGCTGTCTGCTGCATGGGTGCTGTGTGCTACACTGCAAGTCCAAGTCCTACCAAATCCTCAAAAGAAATTGCAAATCTAAAAAACAAACTAACCCAAAAACCCTAAACCCCCTAAACCCTAAACCCTAACCCTAAACCTGAAACCCTAAACCCTAAACCCTCAACCCGAAAAAAACCCTAAACCAGAATGCGCCGACAACTGAGCATGCGGCCATGAGGATGCATCAGGGGTGATCCGAGTGCCTTCCATGTACGCTTGGGGTTTAGGGCTTCGGCTTTAGGACTTTAGGATTTAGGTTTAGAGACGGCGGTGATTCTCCGAAAGAACAATATGACGTTTCAGGGGAAAGCTCAACGGCTTTTTAACTCACAGGCCTTAGCCTCCAATAACGGTGCATCAAACTCGATCCCCCGGACCCCCGCCCCCCCTTTACCGGCCCGGAACCCTCGGGTATCATGGGTGCTTGTAACCCCAAAGAAAGGTCTACTCAAGACCTACTTAGAGAACTTGGGGGGGCATGCGGGCACAGAAAGAGTCAGGGTTGTAGGTACGCTGAACTTCCAGTATCCGAAGAATTGGAGGCTTCACGCTGATTCGCACGGAGCCCCCAGGAGTTGTGGTGAATTGGTCCGAGTCCTTCAGCGGGATCACATGGACCATATGGTCCCCCGCATGTCTGCTAAGGCTTTCGGATTCGAGCTGCAAATTTACCGGCAATCTCGGCCGTGGCTCCCAGATCGACCACCAACCCCACACCGCCCGCCCCCCACCGGAAGAGCGGCAATCCCCCCTATTCACGCCCCCAAGAGTCGGATCACCAGCTCCCGGCCGCGATATGCAAGATGGAGGATTCCATCCCTGGAGTTGAGGGTTGAGGGTTGAGGGTTGAGGGTTGAGGGTTTAGGGACCCTGAATCCTAAACCCTATCGACGCACAGAGCTGCATCCCCACGGGGCCTTGAGTTGCCTCGCGATTTGCCTCCTGTGCCAGTGAGATCCTGCGAGCCTGTCGCGACTGGCGATGGGCAAACGACTTCACCTCACTCCCAGGGTTTGGGGTTTAGGGTTTAGGGTTGAGGGTTTAGGGTTTAGGGTTTCGGGTTTAGGGTTTAGGGTTTGGGGTTTAGGGTTTAGGGTTTAGGGTTTAGGGCTAGGGAAGTGCTTCTTCAGGACGGTGAGCTTGCACAGGATCCTGACACTGCAACACTCAGAGCCCCAAGCGTTTGCAGCCTATCCGGTTGCATCTTAACGACAGGAGGCACTGGGTGAGGATGGAAGCCGTCCAGAGCCGGACAATGGTCAAGGACGAAGCCATCCATAGCAATCCGCAGTCCACGCAAACATACCTTTCCTAGGACCTGCCTACCCAGACTTTATGAGCAAACATCAAGAGGACCCGGAGGGCAACAAGAGATTACCCTCAACCATCTGCAAGTCCACGGCCTCAACCCCCCATCTTGAAGGAGTGCCGCACCGAAGTCTCAATCTGCACGGAGCTCTTGAGGCCAGCTATGGTGGGTGTTTAGGGAACGGTTGGGAGAGGAGGGACCAGTTTGTAGGGCAAGTTGCTCGGCAAAGCCCTCACACTTGGAAAACTTGCAACACAGGAAGCGCACCCTGTGCCAACTTGACCCTTGTCCTGAGTGGCTTTCCAACTCCGTGGACTCAGCAGATTGTCCCCGAGCTTCAGCACAGCATACTAGACTATCATGCAAGTTTTGTAGGTGTAGACTGTTTGCTGCAGCCTTTTCTCCCAGCAACTGTCGGTTTGAAATCGTGTGGACGCTACACCAGACTGCGGCGCTACCAACGCCAAAGCTGCTTCGCTGTCCACTGCACCAGCAGATGCAACAATGTGCCACACACCAGACGGGAATCCAAGCAAAATTCACATAGGGTACCATAATATACTACGCTTCAACTATATTATTGGACAATGTCACTCTGGCCCAGAACCAAAACTGAGGTTGGGTTCGGCTTCCGGCACCGTACCTCATACGCGTGCACACGTCACATGACTTCACGTGCGAGACGCAAGATATCAGTCGTCTTCCAACTCCTCTGCCTCTGCTGCCATTTCAGCTTCCTCCACCATCCAGAAGCTGTTGTTGAGCATATCTTCGAAGAGCTGGGCGCGATCCAGCTTCTTGCCATCCACGTAGACTGCGCCATAGGTGTCGTCAATGACGCGCTCATTCTCAGCATTGAAGCCGTGCACGTGGATGCCCCAAATCTCCGGAGCATCGCGGCTCCAGAAGAGCGCAGGAGTTGATGGCCAACCTCGGAGTCTAACAAAGCCACAAGCGTCGACAAGAGAGATGCAGGGTAAAAAAAGCACTTGAGTTCACGAGGCCTCGCCCTCTCCCTAAAGCAAGATGGCAAGATCGTTACCAAGCAGCACATGAGTCGGTGCTCCGAGGACTTGATGTGAATCTCCCTGTTCTGCGGGTCAATCTTCCCCCCGACGATCTCCCGGCGCCAGGGCCGCTGAAAGAGCTGAAGCGGATTGCCAATGCTAGCTTTGCCGAAGATGTCCCGGCCACAACTGCCACAAAGATGCTTCTTGTGGTAGTTCTCACCGAAGAAATCCCCAATGTCCTCATGCAAAGCCTCACAATGCTTGCATCTTACAACGGCTGTGAGATCCACCGATGACCGCGGTACACCTTGGGATTCAAGCGATTGCACACCCAAGTCGTTGTTCACGGGGCAGTGGTGCTCCATGTAGTACAGGTACTCCAAGGCTGCCGGAGTGGTTAGCACGATCCCTGCTTTTGGGATATTGGGGAACCGGCCCGTTTGATCCTTGATGCGAACAGCTGGGAAGTTCTTGTCGATGACCTTGCGGCCTCCGATCTCCTTCCGCGCGTGGACGTGGATGCCGGCATAGAAGTACTTGGCCTTCTCGTTGTAGGTGTCAATAGCAGGGGCTAGGCCAATCCAAATGCCAAGCTCACAATAGTCCGAGTCTCCTTTGACGTCACCGGGTTTCACCAAGTTCAAGTCCATGATGTCGGAAGAACGCACGAAGTCCACCAGGGCTTCGCTCTGATCACAGCACCTGACTTTGGTCTTCTCTGCTTTGACGACTTGTGCCTTCTTGCCATAGGCACCCTGGTGTATGGGGCACCACCAACGTTCTGCTCCGTTCCGAAACTTGCTGCTAGGGATCAACTTGCACGGTAGCTTCTGCATGCGAGCCATGTGAACCCCATAGACCTCATGCTTGCCAATCTTCTCCAAATGCTTTCCCAAGTCGGAATCTGACTCCACCTCCACAGAGGTGTGACCCGCGCGTTGCAGATCAGATGGCCAGAACTCATACTTCGCGCTGGCCACGCGGCTTCGCTTCACAAACTGAGCCATGGTCGGGGCCTTCGAAAACCACCGGGAGGCGACGATGAGGGACAAGAAGCAGACCTGATAGACCTGATGGCAAGGCGTCCTCATCCAAGCTCTTCGGGCCAAAAACAAGACTGCTTGAAGAATCGCCTGAGGAAACCAACACGATGCTCTTGCATTCTGCGACGTCAGCAAGCTAAGCCTCCGAGCCTCCAAGCTGGCTCGGGTCGGTCGATGGACACCGCTGGCGCCGGCCTAGACATGACACTGAAAACTGCAGACTCTACCTAGTTGCAGCTGGTTTTCTGGAAAAATCATCCGAAGTTGAAGCTTGAACCTCCAAGCCTACACAGAAAGTGCTCAAGGGGAGTGTCGCGCGCCTGTCGGGAAGCCTACTCGTGGCCCATCTTACCAGCAAGCAGAACTGACAGTCTAGCCGAAGTATGCAGCAAAGGCACCACGAAATTTCTCAGAGTAGTCTACTACGAACACAATATACCATGACAAATGACATGACAAGTATCCGGAAATTTGGGCGTCGGCGACGCATCAAAAAAATTGCCTTCCATCAAAACAGCCATCAAAATTACACCTGTACACGTCACGAGACGCAGCTGTGAATGTGTTGTTCTGTCATGCAAGTGCTCACAACGCCCTTGATGGCAGGCAGTACTTCATGAGTCTTCTGTGCAAGTACTTGCTCGTGATGAAGTTAGTGGAGTGGCAAGCGCAAGCTCACAGCACCCCAGGAGCCAACACTCAACCCCCCCCCCCCCCCAATCCCGAAGAGGGTAGAGATTCCAAGGGTCTATGGCCGGTGAGGGGGCTTCTTGGCGCGAGCTGGAGGCTCCCTTTCATGGAACCTTCCCTCCTAAGGGCCCCGAAGCCGCCCCCAAAAGAAGCTTAAGCAACCAGGAGCCACAAGTTCAACGAAAAGTGGTATGTGCAATCCTAAGCTGCACAGAAGAGATTAAGAAGTTCAAAAAAAACACGCGAAAGAGGCCCAAAACTTCGACGAAAGTGGTCAATGCAGGCTTGGCAGGTTCAAGGCGTTCGGCCTTGTAGCCTGTGGAGCTCGGTTTGGACTCTCACCTCACACAAGCCAGGTAAGGCTTCACGACAACCGAAGCTTGGGCATTCAGGCGCATCAGGGTGTGGAAGGAACTCAGGCAAAATTGTCAGTCCGGCTACTATTGCAAGCATTTTCAACGACGAGCTTTGCAGCGAATCCTAGACCCCGAAGCCCTGCACTCCAGAAACTTTCAACCTTGAACCAGGACATCAGCCTGCGACAAGCATGCATCTTGTGCTCACTTGCGGCAGCCGTAGCCCTGCGTGCGGGCTCATGACCGAAAGTCCGCCTTAGAGAAAGGAATATTCAGGGGTCTGCATTAGCTTGTTCCGCTCTGCCCCAAAGATTCCCAAGTCAAGAAGCGCGACGAATGACACACCTGGCAAGTTGACTAGGCAAAACTTTATAAATCCTAACTCCGAGAACCCCTCGATAACACTCCTGAACCTCAAAGTCTCTCGCCGTTGACCTCGTGGCCTTCGCAAAGTTGTGGCCCTCGCAGAGGACATCTGGGGCGGAGCGTTTGCTGCTACCTTGTGAAGATGAAAGACAGAACTGCACATATAGAAGGTCCTACAGATCGTCCAGGATGTTTTAAGGCTTTCGCCTCTGGCTTCGGATGGTGAAGGATTCTAAGGGTTTCGGCGCTCCACTCGGACTCTCCAGGCGAGGCATGTGGTCTTGAGTCGAATGAGTCAACTACAAGTCGAAGTGTTGAGAACCTGTGGGGACCTCGGAGACGAAGAACTCAAGCAGCAGAGACTGTCCAGCAGACTTTACAAAGGCCGCGACTCATGCTTAGGGTCTCGGAGTCAGCGTTAGTATATGTCTTTGGACAAAGCTATACAAGGCTACGACGACAAGAGCCACGCTTTTCTTCTTCAACATGCCACTGCTCACGAAAGGCGTGTTGCGTCCTACTTACCCTTAGGCCATGCAGCGGTCGAATTACAAGTCCTATACAAGTCTTAGGGCAACAGCCTCAACCCTAATCCAGGGGGAGCAGATGCCCTGCGACCGCATGCACCAAAACAGCCCACGGGCACTGGGGCTCAAACAGCCTCCCAGCCGTGACGGATGCTAAAATTTCAAGCAGGACTGTCCCTGAGCCCTAGCCCCAAAGTTTAAGGTTTAGGGTTTATTGTATGGAAACTGTCACTTGATTCACAGGCACTGCTTCTTAATCGGGCTCTGATCGGGCTATCAAGGGCTGTACTGCCATCTCCGCTCGCGGTTCTGCTCTGCGCGGCTCGTAAAAGTCTGTGGTCTCCAAGCATGTGCATACCGCTCTAAAAGAGCCTACTTGGAGTGTTGGAGGTTCACAACTGACATCCCCTCACTGGCCCTACATAAAGGCTATCTTTACTATAAGTAGGTTCCAACCCTGTTAATTTAAAAAAACAACTAACCCCTAAGACCTGAACCTAAACCCTAAATTCGGTCCTCCAAGTGGAACACCTCTATCGGAAGGTTAATTTTACTCCAGTTCGTTTCCAGTTCTTGCTACAAGTCCCCTAGCCCTCCAAGCACCCCCTCTCCTGCACACCCTCAAACCATGATCTCATGTGGCACAGCACGGAGATACTCGGACACGGTCACCTTCGCAGGGCCACCGTAGAAGTCCAGGAAAGTGATGCTTTTCAGGTCGATGGTGAAATACTGGCCGCCGGTGTGGGCACCGCCCTGGGCCAACCAAGGTGCAAGGGGATGCCTGGCACCCAAATTCACCTCGGCTTGGGTCACCTCGTCACCTGTCAGCGCCCGAAGTGTGCCTGTAAGTGCAATGCGGGCGCAAGTGGGGTCTTCAGGATCCATCCCATTGCAGATGCCCCTGGGGCTGACACGGTCCGGAAGTGCTGCCTCGGTCAGCGATATCGTGACATGGCTGTCGGCAGCGACATCCACTGCTGTAGGATCAGGCGTTGGTAGGTACAACACCGGCAAGCCCGTGCTGTTGGCGCCGACACCGTCGGCCACTGAGCGTGCATTCCCCCATGGGGCGCCGTGCAGGCGAACCGACTTGGTGCTCACGGTGCCCCAAAGGCTGTGGTAGACCAGCCATCTCGCTCGCTGGGCCGGCCGAGAAAACGGTGGAGGGGTGCCCCACCGCTCGCCGCTGACGCGAAGGGGAACCTCCCACGGCGTGGTGTGCTTCGGCTTGGCTGAGAGAAAATCCAAGAGCTTGACGATCTGACCCCCGCCGTAGGCATCCAGGATCCAAATGTCCGAAGGCACCAACTCATGCACCCGAAAGTCATGGCTAGCGGGCCAGTGAGCCATCTGAGGATGGCGTGCGAAGAGCCCCGCCCTCCCCAGCACCTCATCCTCGCCAGAGACCTTCTTTAGCACGCCCGTGGCAGTCAAGCGCCCGCATCGGGGATCCTCGGGGTCATGCTCCGCACGAGTGGGGACGATGCTCCCGCAAGATGAGTTGAGCGCTGCCTGACTGATCGTCAATGCAGCAGGCAAGCTGTCTTCGTAGTCACCCAAGAGGTAGAAGAAAAACCGTCCTGTAGAATTCCCGACGGCGCCATCAGAGAACGACAAAGTGTCGCCGACCGGCTCGGAGGACGCATCGAGGGACGACAAAGTTCCCCAGGACGCTTCGTGGACCAGCCACCGAGCGTTCTCCGCAACCTGCTCAGGGGTGCGTGCCACCACAGCAGTGAGGAGAGGCAGAAACCGAGCCCACATGGCGAACACAGAGGCCTTGAAGACGCGCCAAGGAAGCTCCGAAAGCTGGGCCAAAATGGCTACAGAGGGTGTAGGGTTTTGCGGCTTTCAAGACTTCAGGTTTCGTTTCGGCGTGGTTTGCAAAGCTGCAGGCTCGTTGCCGGCGACGAAACTGAAGGGTGAGGACTCCGGTTCCTCTGGGCATGGCCCCTCATTTAAAAAAATACATGCTTCCCGCACTATTGTTTTTTTGTGGCCGTTGAACGCACCCCCTCCGATGTTCGGATACTCCCAGAAGAGGGTTCTCAGCGATCCTGAAATGCTGTTGACTGGGGCTGGGAATTGTCAGAAAATAGCCTGACTCGGGCTTTCTTGTTGGGGTTTGCCATCATGAGCAGTCCTCTTTGGCCTTTTGGCTGCAAAAGCCTGCGACTTATCTCCTATACAATGGCTGAACCCTGCAAGTGCGCACCTCGAAGCCCACAATGCTGCAGTTCTTCTCCCTTGTTAAGTACCACCGGCGGCCATGTACTGACACAGTGCTGGCTGCCTCGGCAGAATTCCTGGACTTCGGAGGACCTGAAACACGAAACTCTCAGATCATCCCTTAGCTTGCACGGCCACCTACGCCATCCTCAGGATTCTGCGTGACGCTTGAAGAGCGACTGCTCACTTGTGACGATTATGACGGTGATGGCGATGTTGATTGTGTTTATGATGGTTATACAGTTCTGCGAAATTCTGAGGCTGATGATGAGGAGTTATGCTTACCCCCAAACCGAGCGCACCGCTGCCGGAGCTGGGGATGAAATCTCAACCTCGGAGCTGGGTGCAGGGGCCCCCAAGGTCGGTGAGGTGAGGTGAGGTGAGGAGAGGTGCGCTGCGGCCCACCGCCCACGCCCCTTTCGACTTCACAGGGAGGCTCCGGTAGCATCATCGCCTCCCTCCATCACAGAGGAAACTAGCTGTGCAACCGCGAAACAACCAAGTCATATTTGCCTGCCAATTGAAAACAACAATGTGAGGGAGCAGGCTTACCGGGGGCCTCCTGCTCTCGCCTGGGTCCATACTGATGAGCTGCTGAGGCAGACGGAGCCCTTTATGGAGCCCTCCAGACACAGAGGGCGATGGCGGCAGCTGGGTGAAAAATTGCAATTCAGTCAAGCACCCTTTGGAGCGGCTGCTAAGATGTTTCTCCCGGGGAGATAGGCAATAAAGCTGCCCTGATAGGTTTGCTGCCTTTCGAAGGGTGCTGCCCCACCTCTCTTGGGCACCCCCACGACCACCCGGCTTGGTGTGGGAAGCATCGGTTTTGGATACAGAAAATCCGAGGATTGGAAATCAAAGCGATCAAAGGAACGGAGAAAATCCTGCAGATTTTAGAAACAGAAGATTGACGAGAAAATCAGGAAGATTCTCGGATACCATGAGCTTGGAGTGTTTGTGTGCATGTGCGTGCGTTCCGCAGCGTTTTGGCTTAAGCTGGCAGAGTTGGTAATGCCTGAAGATTGATGAAGTTGAAGAAAGCCAGAAGGCGAAGCGCCAGTTGAGGAAGAAAAGAAGCCAGATGCTGAAGAAAGTGAAAAGAAAGAAGAAGAAGAGGAAAAGCTCAGAAGGAGACGATGGAAAGGACTGAGCAATTGGAGCAATGAAGAAAGGTGGAGAAGCTCGGAGAATGGAGCAGATCGAGAGGATCGAGCAAGTGCGAGCGGAAGAAAGTGAGGAGAAAGAAAAAGAGGAAGATAAGGAAGCAAGCAGCCAGCGATCAAGCTGGTGAAGACGAAACAAGCAGTGACAGCAGCAGCAGCAGCAGCAGCAGCAGCAGCAGCAGCAGCGAGTCGAAAAAAAGGATTTGAAAGGGTGAAGCAAGAAGCCATTCGATAAGGCTTTGGCAAAGTCGAAGAAGAAGAAGAAGAAGAAGAAGAAGGAAATTCTGGAAAGTTCAAAAGCCGAAGAGCCGCCGCAGAAGAAGCAAAAGCCAGCGGTGAAGTAGAAAGAAATGCCAAAAAGAAAGAAGAAAGCCAAGCCGGCGCCGAAGTTTATGGAGGCAAAGGTCAAGCAGCTTGAAAATGCGCCGAAGCCCAAGCCAAAGATCAAGTGGATTTTTGTTGTTTTCAAGCCTCCTTGAGCGTTTAAGTGGAGATTTGCAGACAAAAAGGAAAGAGTGGTGGCAAACGGCCAAGCTTGAAAGCCGCCAAACGACCCGACAAGCACACGAGCAAGAACCGCAAAATCGTTCACGGAGCAAGTGCTTGCCAATATGAAGGTTGGAGCTGCGGACGGCGGCCCAAAGAGGGTGGTCAAGCTGCGTTGAAGCAACCTGTTCGAACTCAGAGCAACACTTGAGCAGTTTGGAAAAAGAAGACAATGCGATGAGAAGCTGGAGCGGATCATTGTGGCAGAAGAAGATGAGAAAGAATCCAACGCCGTGAAAGAAGAGAAACCACCAGAAGAAAGAGAACGTTCGCAAGCGAATGGATTGCGAGCAAAATGCGGAGGCGAAAAAAACGGAAGAAGAAGGAAAAGACGGAGATCGACAAGAAGAAAAAAGAAGTTGAAAAGAAGAAGAAAAATAATGCCGAGAGGAGGAAAAGAATAAGAAGAAGCTGAAATTCGAGCGGAAGAACTTCGGAAGAAGGCAAATTTTTTTTGGACCATTGCCTCTTTACCACATCAGCGGCGCAGTAGGCCATTCTTAGGGATCTCAATGCGAGAGGTGAAACGGAGCAGGTGCGAAAACCAAAGCAAACACACACCAAAACAAACACAAAACACAACCACCGACCAGCAGCAACCAGAAGAACAGAGAACCTAAAGTCTACGTTTCCCCCACACTCAGTACTCGAAGTCGTCGAGGAAGCCCAGTTGTGGTTCGAGCAGCGCAGAGCAGTGCGGGGGGTCGCAAAATGCGAGGGTATGCCAGATCATCAAAACCACCATCATGTAGCCGCAGATGCAAAGAAGGTCAGCCGGCAAGCTGTAGTTCGAAGAGCGACAGCCGAATTACCGACAGATACAATGAGGTACAAAGCGCACAGTGGCCAAAAGTGTACATACAGATGGCCAAATATCCCAGAGGGAAAGCAAGGCCCGCACGCGCCCCATGGTGGTCAGCCAGTGGGGTTGACAGCAAGAACAATGCAAGACCAGCCCAGGGCATCCCATGGTGGTCAGCCAGTGGAGCAGCCCCGAGCAACAGCCGATACGACTTGTGGCTTTGTTGTTAAGCCCGGCCAGGGTTGGTGTCAATCTGAGCCCAGTTTGACCACGTACCCAAGCAGAAACAGGGGCCGCGGTCAACAGGGCTTTCAACAATTTCAGAGAAGGAGCCTGCGTAAAGCAGCGGCTACCGATTTTAGAGGGGAAAGACTACCCTACAGTAGTCAAGCCCACACATCTCCTACAGCAGAAGGACAGCCAGCACGCGCCCCATGGTTCAGCCAGTGGGGACTTGACAGCAAGAACAGTGGGTGCAAGACCAGCCCAGGGCACCCCAAGGTGGCCAACCAATGGAGCAACCCCGAGCAACAACCAACATAACTTGCGGGTCGATTACGTATCCAAATAGGGCCTGGGGCCGTTAGTTTCCAGAAAGGAAACCTGCGAGTGGCAGCAGCAGTAGAGCAATCCCTTAGCCGGTCCAGAGTGCTTCATTGCCATGGACCTTCCAATCCGGGTGTCTTGCCAGAAGGAGAGCATCGGTACGCCTTCCTGAATTGTGTGCAGACAGGCTTTCAACAACTCCTCCTCATCGACCTTCCACGCAGGGATACCCATCGGGCTCCAACATGCCGTGCCAGGTTGGCCCTGGCTGAATGCCACATTGCCCGAGTGGCCTTCTGAACTTGCCAATACTGCACAGCGCCTTGTTCTGGGTTTGGATGGGGAAGGTGGAGAGGGCAGTTGCAAGGGCTTCTTGGAGTTGCCATGGCAGTACACCCAGTTTGAATCTTGTTCTGGTCACACGCGGACCCATCAACACGTGCCATCCACCTGCCAGCAGGTAGCAGTCTTGCGAGCAAATATTGCAAATTGGAGCTTGGTGGCGTGCGAAGAAAGGGAACCTATTCCTTAACTGATTCACCTGTCGTATTTGCCGAGTTGGTGCCAGTGGTGTTTGACCACAGAAAAACTGAGAGTTTTTCTGCTGCATAATTTGGCATGAGCTGTTGTTTTGCCTTCTAGAATGAGTTTTCAAAGCACTTGGATATGTTTCCAACCGTGCCGACAAGTACCTTCCACAGCTACCTGTTAAGAGATTGAGCCTGGCACGGCTGCCTGGAGACGATGAGTTTATGGTTGGCCTTGCAAGACGAGGCCCATGTAAACGAGATCCGCCTCTGCATCAGTGTCAAGGACGAGATCCGACAGGACCTTTTTGTCTAACACTGCAGCTTGGTTGGCGAAGTTGTTTTACCTGCTTTCCCAGAGCTTGGCGAAGTGGAAGCGGTTTGGAGCAAAAGGCAAAGCATGTCTGCTACCGGCTACGAGGCAGTTTGCACCTTGCACCTGAACTACTTCATTGTGTCTTGAATGGAAGCCGTCTACGTGAGAGACGGTTGCATGAAGTTGCATGCACAGTGTTCGGGGCTCAAAAAGCCCATGGACATCTTTTTCTTTTTTTTTTGGACTGGCGCCTCTTTACTACATCAGTAGCACAGTAGGCCGGTCTTGTTGGGCTCGACGTAAAGGGTGAAACAAAGTCAGCGCACACAATCCGCCAGACACACCAAGCAACCACCAAGCCAACAAACACCAAAGAAACAAAGCGAGCAATCGCGCTGAACTACTAGATACCCCACGGACTCAGTACTCGAAGTCGCCAATGAAGTCCCGGTTCACAAGGAAGCACAGAGCTTGTGGGGGAATCGCAAATTGCGACATTGCCAGATTCTCAAAACCACCATCATGTAGCCACTGGTGCGCGATAATGACTTCAGTATTGCCGGCTTCTTGCTTCATGGAAGGCGTTATGGCAATGTAGTAGCAAGTGTGATGGACAGGGTAGCTGCTGGGAATGT